AATGTTACATTATCAATGTTTAGAAGACAAAAGCAAATTGATAGTTGATTTGAATGAAAAAGAGAGATACAAACTTCAGATACTTTTCTTTTCCTGTATATTCATGTCTTCTTCATTATGCTGAAAAGCGGAAGCGTTTCAGAACGAATGTTTTAGGAAAAAGCATAAAAATCAAACTTATTATAGTATTATTAAAAAAACTAGTGTAAACAAAGTATAATCAAGATTCGAAGTCTCAGTCTCAGTAATGTTTAACCATAAACATCATCATCGCTGTGAATTCTAGATAGATTAGACGACTTTTTAGCTAATTTTAAATTAGAACAAACACTTATAATGATTCTTCGAGAGAAATGTAGAATTATCATTATAATATATATGCCATTGCTTAGATTCATATTTTAATAAAAATGCTACACTTATTGTACTCGTAGATACCTAACCAGACGTGCAGAGTCTGTCGCTAAAAGGAAAAAATGTCCTTGTAGAGCAAAATTTTCACGGAAAATTTCCTCCATTATCAAATTCAATTAAAGATTCCTTTGGAAAATTGTATAATTTTTTTTTGAAAAGGAAAACTATCGGATGCTCTATAATAAATGGTTCATTTTTATTTTCTATCTTGGAGGCATTTAACAACTATTTTAGATTTTGTTTTTTATGTCAGTAAATAGGAAATTCAATTCTCTACAAAAATATCGACTTCGTTTTTCGAATAGATTTTTGCGCCACAGCAAAGTTAGCAAAATTAACATCTATTCAATCGAATGAATACGAAAGTTAAAAAAAGTGAAAAAATAATAAAGCATTTTTGAGAAAAGAATCCGCTGAAATTTGAAATATGCTACAATATTCTACACAAAATTCTGCAACTTTCGGTGTGACTTTTAAAGTACTAGAATCAATATTTGAGAGGAAAAATTTCCGAAATTGTAAATGTCAAGGCACTGAATAAAACTGGTTTCGGACAAATCTGAGCTATTATTTTTGACTGCTTCACAGTAACCTAAATGTTTCAACTGTTCAAGTGAATACGTGCACCATTTTATTCAGAATTTAATTGTGCGTTCGATGGTACGAGAATCAGCATTTTATACGACGAGTCTGACTTGTAATAAGATAATTTTTCATAATGCACATAAAAATATTCTTAAGTGTTAGTTCGCAACTTTTATTCTCTTGAATAAAACACTAAAAACTATGTTAAGATTGTGAGAATATAGAGCAAAACATTGTCTATCATTTGATACAATACTTAACTTTTAGCATCAGTCTTGATAAGCACACGCTCATACAAATTGTTTTTTATCTGTAGCAAAATAGGAATTTGCAGTTTGAGAATTCAATAGGTTTAAATCTCATGAAGTCTACGCCTACATAAAAAATCTTTCTGGAAAACAAAATTGGTAATTTTTTGGAGAAATAAATTCTCTATCCACCGAGATGAGAACTAAAATTCGAACAAGTGTTAAATGCCTCAAAGAGAGAAAATAAAAGTGGAATATGCATTATGAGGCATCCATTATTTTTTCGAAAAAATTTCCTCAGATACTAATAAGTTTTTCAAAAGTTTTCCCAAACGTTCGTTAGCGCACGTGGGTAAATTTTGTATCTCTGCATCTAACATTGTTTTAATGGAACTATATCGTATATATGACTAGCACTTGAAGATAATGATGAAAGAGCATGAAAAATATTTCAAAAATTTTGATCGAATGATTTTTTTCTAAGATTATATTTTAGTTATATAATGAAATTTATATGTTTATTTTATGTGCTTGACAATTATCCTCGAAAGTTGTAGAAGCTTTTCTTTCGACTTTGACATCATCTTTTTCAATTAACAGTAATCTTCTTCATAGCTTAATTCTTCCTTATATATATTATGCTTGTTTATTTTCTTTTAACTTATGTTTTTATCGTGTCAATATTATATTAGTGGATGCGAGATTAGTTAGACGGGTCGATTAATCTCTATCAGAAAAGATAATAATTAAATTTTTTTGTTTGTACCCATATGTTCTTGTTATGATAGCTTACCTATGTCCTTTAAAATTAATTCATAATCTGCTTGCAATCTGATATGATAAATACAAGGTTTTCTATTAGATATTTGTTCAGGTTTACTTTAATTTTCCTGAAGTATCTATTTTTTAATCATGTAAAAAGATATGTGATTAATTATCATTTCTTCTTCATGTATTCGAATAACAATTATGTTATTCGAAATTTTTTGAATCAATTATTCATGGTAATGCATCATATTTATATTACAATAGATGGAATATTTCATAAATATATAATTATAATTTTCATCTTGTAATTAGTAGAAATAAATTAAGAGGTGATATTTAATTTTCATATATTATCAAAAGAAAAAAAAGTAGACTTGAGAATTATTTTCTCATTATTAATTTCTGTTCATTTTCTTTCAAGTTCTCTTCTTAAAATTAGTGCTAAAAGAATAAAGGTAAATATATGTAGCAAGTATGCCTGGTTGATGTAGACATACTCTATAATTAACAAAATCTATTTTCAGAATGTAAATTATAAATGTATAAAATAACTGACTAGTTATTAAGGACATGATATAGAAAGAGTTTACTTGTTCCAAAGAATATCAGTTCATTTGTTTTTTTTTTTATTGATTACTATGAATTATTGTATGAAATAATACCTGAACCTATTAATTGACACGAGAAACAAAGAATGTCATTGTAATAGGTTAACAGATTCTTGAAATTATGATTGTCTATTCTCTTTCTATATTTTTTTTCTTTTCTATCTATATATGATGGCATAGCTATTTTTCTCTCACTTGTTTTCGACGTGTCGTCAATAAGTAATTCCGTTGTCTATCAACAGTTTATGTTGTCTACGCTTTTCTTCTTTTTTTTAAGACTTATTTTATCTTATATTCAGAGAAAATCTTTATGTTAGTAAAAATAACACGAGTCGCATGAGAAACATAGCCAATTGCATCAGAAAAAAATCCAAATTTTGTTTTGATGTAAACCGACTTCTATTTTTATTTGATTTTTCATCTTTGATATGCTGCCATTGAAAATTATCGGTGACTGTTTCCTTTTCACACAGACTCAATATGACTTTTCATTAGTTTCACTAAAATATATATTTACAAGGCATGTTTTATTATAGAGGTTCACGCCTGGAATTTACTTACGGAGATGATCTGAGCTCTTGTTAGAATCTTTTGCTGTTAAAATTCATAATAAACTTTCTTTTGCTTTTATTTTCATATAAGATGTTTGCCGTATCATGTGCATTTATTGGCCTATTATTATTTACATTGGGTTCATCAGGCAATGGTTTATGTATATTGATATTTCTTCGCAAAAAATTTCGTCATCGTGTTATAACACCATATTTTATTGTTTTATTATTTGCTGATTCTATTTATTTATTATTTCATATAATCAAATTATTTTATTATTCCCAAACACTTTTTTATCCAAATACACAGCCAGAAGAATCATGTTCAAATACATTTTTTGCACGAGCATATTATTATGCAACACAAACATGGCCACAACCATTAGTGCCATTAGTACATTCGGAAACATATATACGATTCTCTTTAATATTAATGTGTATAATATCTTTACATAGAACGACATTTATTACTCGTTCATTAAAACGTCTTTCTATGCCAACAACATATAATTACGTACAAAAACACAAATGGACATTTGTGTTTATAATTTTAGCCTTTTTTCTTGCATATTCATTTGAATTTGTTGGCTTAACATTATTTTGTTCAAAATCAAATAATCGTGTTATATCATATGAATGGTTTATTTATATGAGTAAATACATGGAAAATTCAACATATCTTTTAACAAATACAATCGTTGATCAACCAGATTCGTTAAAATGTGTTGATTATGCTTTAAGAAATTTACAAGAACAAAATCAAAGTTCAATTGTGTATAACAATGATATATGTACAAAAGAACAATTAATAAATATATTATCTCATTATTTTGATCAACATCAACGATCAATTGTTAATTTAATACAAAAAATATTATTCCATCAAACAGGTCAACGTATAACACGAAATGAAATTCGTCGAAAATTTCATTTTCATGAATGTTTATTTCCTCAAGAGCCAAGTTTTTTTCATCGTTATTATAATTTTATGTATCGTCGATCATTTGGTTTTAATCGACATACCTTGCTTTTAGGTAAGATAAAATCTTTTAAACAGATTAGCATATAATATTATTGATTGATACTTAAGATTTATCTGATATAATAGAACTAATCATGATTTTTATAGTTGAGTCGCGCCCCCTGAAATTTAATCATTTCGAAACTGTTAACACTTATTATTTTTCTATTAGTTTATTTAACTCATTAGACATCGTAATGTTGAAAAAGGTTATTTATATTGTCATACACATCTTCAATACATAACTTCTATTCATAAATAGTATGCTAATGACGGTCTGTCACTGCCCAATAATGACTTAACAACGAAATATTAAACATTATTCAATATAAAAAATTAGATCAATAAATATTAAATACTTTAAAAATAATATTTTATATTTTATATTTTAAATATTAAGTATTAGTTATTTATTCACCATCTGACTAATTATGTAATTAATTCATTAGTTGTTAGCGGTCTGTCCTTGGGGGGTGCGNACTGAATATTAATGAAAAATGTTCCATCTCTTCACAGTTCTTTATTTATT